TGTGTGTGTGTGTGTGTGTGTGTGTGTGTGTGTGTGTGTGTGTGTGTATATGTATGCAGGTATGGAGAGGTGATGAATAAATAAGTAAAGAACAGGGAAACAGACATTCCTCATTTCTCTCAAACCTCAAGAGACATTACTTTGAGCAATTATTACTTTGGAAAAGTAGTCATGTGCTTGCCAAAGACACCACATGTATGCATAGCTCCTATTACCACCGATTTTGAAACTACATGTTTGTGTAAGGATTGCTTTTTGGGTGGAATTAGTTTGTTTTTTGTTTTAAAATCATGTTGTGTCATGTCATTTTGAGGCTTCAGTATTTGACCAACTAGTCCCTTTATCTTTGCCTGCCACCTTGTGGCTTGATGTTGCATCTACAGACATATAACTAAATACAAAATCAATCACGCTTATATTTAGACTATAACAGAAATACACGAATTAAATAATTCTGAATACCGACTGCTTGGATTGACATTGAGAAATGATGGTAATTTGGTAAAGGTAGGGAAACTTGCATTACAATATAATGCTGCCTTCCAGTTCTCTAAGTAAGTATTTTCTTATCAGCACTGAAAAATAAAAATTATTTAATAATTTAATTTGAAATGAACGTGATCACACTTTTCACACACTCAAGGACTCAATTGCGAATTTAATGATACATAATTAGCCAATTTGATCAGATTTTCTATTCTATCTGATCTACTGGGGCATTACCGGGATTTCCGACACACAGTCAAAACGAGAGACATGTGCGAACCACAATTATTGTTATTCAAAAGCAAACAAAACTTATTTTCCAACACTTTTTTTTTTTGCGTCTTGTCATGTTAGTTGTCTTCAAGATTCCTACACGGACCAACAACACGTGAAGGCAACACAAGCTGTGACGACGACGAATGACGTAGCACGCTGCTTGCCGTGTTTGGTTGCGGTCGAAGCGAAGACGCTCGGAAAGGATCAAGGAAACCTCTAAGCATCGTAGATAAACACCCGCGAACAGGTGTGGAGCCAGCGGGTACAGCTGTCACAAGACCCGAGGGAAGCCTTCGTACAGCGAGGGTCAACATGTCTGAGACATACGGTACGTTTGTCTTTAACGTTATGTACACACTGTGGTGTGATGAGACGGACTGCTTCTTAGCAGTGTTTGCTAGTTAGCTAGCTACATGGTTAGCTAGTGTTAGCTGCAGGCTGCCACCTCACTATACGTTGATAGTGATGGTTAACGTGTGCTGCTTGTATTTTATTCAAAGAAACTATTGTACTGTAGTTAGGGGTTACGTGTGTGACACATCTGTCCTTCGATGGCGGAGTGCACTTGCTTCCTTAAACGACACGAGCAAACAGATTGTGACACATTTCACAGGTAAAAGTTGGGACAAACTCCAGACACGACGCTTCAGTAGCATGTCGATACATGAAGGACGTGTTGGGGGAACCGGAGTTTATTTAAATTAAATCTGATTGGTTAAACCTCGCAAGCTGCAAGCATGTTGCATTCGGTCTGTGTATTTGTATTTGAGATGTAGCCGTTAGCTACAAGGCCTATAAGGAAGTTAGGTAGCTGTGGCAGTCATCCGGTTACCTGTAGAGCAGCAGCTGCTCTGTGTCATTGTTCTCCACCACATCCTGAAACCAGGCAGCTGCACTCCAGACAATCTCCATTACAAGCTAATGCGAGAAACGACAGACACAAAGTTATTTATATAATAGTTACTATTCTGCATGAATTCATTCAACCTGACTGCCTGATAGTGTCAGTAGCACAGCAGACCTGACACTGACCCAGTGATTTTGAAATGGCACACTATCATCCTCTAATGTTGCACTTTCTCACACACACACACACACACACACACACTCCCTCTCCCTCTCTCTACATGTGTTTCTGCTTGTACCCTGTCTCCTACATTCCTTGTATGAAACTGTATCCCGGTGGGCAGTATTTAGGTAAAAGTGCCAGCGCTAATGGTAGCTGTGATAGCTTATTGATTTCTGTCTGAGTCTTCTGTGCTGTCTCCTCTCCTTCAGGGTCTGTATTATTGGAACTGGCAAAAAGCAATAGGAACACAGAACACAGGGGGGGGGGGGGGGGGGGGGG